CGGCCCAGCCATTGGCAGCCGCTGCCAAGCCCCGGTGCTGGGAGCAATTTGGGTGTGCTGAGGAAGCTGCTGGGCTGAGGCCAGGGCTGAGGCTTGACTGACAGCCGAGGTGGCCTTGGCACTGCGGGGAAGGTGTCAGCTGGTTAGTGCCTGCGCCAGCGCGGGGGCAGCAGGGCCCCTGCCCTGTCCAGCCTTGCGCCTACTCGGGCTCTCTCTCTCCCCCACAGAGGTTCCTGGGCTGGACACAAGACCGAAGATGGGGAGCGATCCGGGGCGCTGGCTCCTGCTCTGGGCTGTGCTGGCTCTGATCCTGGGGGCCACCTTTCTCGGGGTGGCAGCGGGCAGGATGGAGGATGGGCAGGAAGGCTTTCGGAGGCAGGACACCGAAGTCACCGAAGACTTCCTCTCGCGGCTGGGCCGAGCGGCGAGGGAGACCCTGGAGACCCTGGTGGGCCGCGAGCCCCTGCAGCTGGTGGCGGAGGTGAGGCGCTCTGTCCGGCCGCCAGTGGGGCAGGGGCAGGGGCAAGCAGGGTGCCCATGTTCCTGCTGGCTCCCGCAAAGCCCTGCAGAGGATGTGGGAGCCTGCATCCCAGAGAGGGATTTGGGGGCCCCTCTACCTTTCACCCTGGGGGGCAGGGAAACCCAGGGGGCTCAGATCTTCTTATAGGAAGATCTGTTCTGCCTGGACACCAGAGCTGTCACAGCTGTGGTGGGAGCCGTCCCTTGCCAATCCACCCACTGAGCCATCCGGCCTCAAGCAGCAGGGAAGTGAGCCCTGCTGGTACCTGCTCGTCCCTCCTGGGAGAGGCAGCAAAGCTTTTTTCCCTTCCCCTGGTGCATTGTCTCTCCCTGCCCACGATGCTGAGCAGCTTTGTCTCTCCCTGTTCCTCACAGAGCCTCTCCGCTGTGCTCTGGACCGTGTCCTCGGGCATCTCCATGGCTCTGACTACTCTCTGCAAGATCCTGGGAGAAATCCTGACTGTTTTTGGCCTGAACGGTGAGCCAGCGCTGCCGCTGCGTTCCCTGGGGTCCCCTGACTCCAGCCCTGCCCTGAGTGCAGGCCAGGCAAAGCATGGGAGGGGGAACTGAGGCCCAGAGAGAACAGTCTGTGGGGCTGCTTTGGTGGAGCCCATGGCCTCCCTTCACTGGTAGAAGTGGAGGCTCCAGGGAAGGGTTTAACACTGCCCTGGATTTGCTCCCGAGGACAATTAGGTGAGGGACAGGGACACCCCTCCCAGCCTCTTGCGGGCAAGGAGAGTCTCGTCCCTTGCCGGGAGGGTCATGGCCAAGCTAGCTCTGATGCTCTTCTTTCCAGGGGACCTCCTGGTCCAGACTGTGAGGCTGGGCTCCAGCGAGGTGCAGAAGCTGCTGCTGTGGGGCCTGGCCATGCTGGTGAGCTGCTGGCTGCTGTCACGGCTGCTGGGGCTGGTGCTGGACCTCCTGGAGTACGCGCTGTGGTGGGTGAAGCTGTGCTGCTTCTTGCGGGCCTTCATCTACATCGTGGCCTCCCAGGAGAACCCAACGGTGCAGGCGGGGCTGCTGCTGGGGCTCTGGGTGCTCTACGCCCTGCTGGGGCGCCTGGCGGGGGCACGCGGCCCTGGTGCCGAGCTGGAGGCCACCGTGCGCAGCCTCGAGTGGAAGGTGGAGGAGCTGCGGCGGCGGCAGAAGTGGGGAGGCCCCCGGAACCGGGAGGAGGAGTGAGCCGGCGCCAGCAGACCCCGGCGCATGGTCTGCTCCTGGTGCGCTGTCTCCAGTGCACCCCGGCAGCCTGGCCCCGGCCCGCTCCCCGTACCGGCACTCCCAGCATGCGTCCCCCCTGCTGCACCCCTGCACCCCACCTCTGCCCTCCCCACCGGGTCCCCCCACTTGGTGCACCTCCCTTCCTGTTTCCACCACCCGCTCCCCCCCAGTTCTCCCAGTAGGCATGTTTAAGCCAGCCCAGGAGGAACTCCAGCCCAAGAGCCCTGGGTCCCAGCGAGGGGAACAGGGCGCCTGCTCCATGCAGCACCCACGGCGCTGGGGACCTGTTCCCTGCACACGCGCTGCAGTGCCTTAGTTCTAGCCAGCGGTGCCTTACACAGCCTGCACCCACGGAGGGAGATGGGGGGCCTTGGCCCTAGCGACTCCCTTCGCTCCCCATCTCCAAACCCAGCCCCACCAAAGAGGAGAGCAAGGGGAAAGCGTTTTAATCCGTGGTGCGTTTGCCTGGCCTGGCAGCAGTGCCATGCATCTGCCCATGCCAAGCACAAAGCCGTTGTGTCCATCTGTCCCATGTGCGGGTACGGACGTGGCTAGGCAGGAGGGAGAGGATCCGGCTTAGCCAGCTGGGAACCTGCTCCGCTCCTCTGAGTGTCTCTCGGAAGGGGGGGTCTCCAGCCACGGACCTCCCTTTGGGGAGAGCAGCAGCGATTTCTCTCCCTTCCCCAAAAGTGGGGCTTGCGATTGTGCGTGGTGGGTGCCAAACTGCTGCCGTGCACCTTTTCTAGGGGACAGCTGCCAAAACCCTACTTTGTCGGTTCTTGTTTTTTAAGCTGCTTTTTAAACTGTTTTGATACGTGGTACCAAATAAACACTATTTAATCACCGCCTGGCTGGGCTGGGGAGTTCATTTTCCTGTGCCAGCAGAGAAGCGGCAAAGAAAAGACTGTGGCCGGCCGCCCTGCGTGGGGAGCGGCGTGGGCATCCTGTGAGGCCGCCCCGGGGCTGGGATGTCACAGGAGCAGGGCTCTGAGTCGGCGGCTCGAGCCGGGGTGTTGTCCCAGCTGTCCCTCCCGCTGGCTGACTGGTTTTTTTGGGGCAGCGAGCCCTGGCGCTGCCGCGCAGCGTGGAAAGGGGATTAACATCTCCTAAGTGGCCGGCTCTGTGCTTGCCACCTGGGGCCCCTGGCTGTGCTGTGTCCCAGTCTGGTGGGTCCCTCTGTGGGGTGGGGGACGCCAGCTGGGCTCTGTCCCCGTTGCGCCAGGCTGTTTCCCCACCACGCACAAAGGGACGGTCTGTTCCTGACCCCAAACCCTTGGAGACCTAAGTGGGGCTTCAGTGGCATCCCTGAGACCTGCTCTGCCCCTGGTTGGGGGACGCAGGTCAGGGCAGGCGTGCTGGGCGTGGGTCTTGTGTTTCTGGGGCAGGCGGAGGGCGCCTGGGGCCCATAACAGGCTGCAACACGCCGGGCCGCGCACATGTCTGTCTCCATCTGTTTGCTGAGGCTGGAGGAGAGGAGGGAGGTTAGGCGTGCCGGGATCTGTCCCCTTCCCCCTTCCCATCCTCCTCCAGCCTTCCCCACCACCGGCACCTGGCTGGTGCTGGTCTGGCTGGCTGCTTGCCTCTGTCTAACTCTATCCCCCCAGGCTCGCCCAGTGTCCTCCTAGTCCCTCCCAGTGGCACCAGGATCAGGGTGGAGGGCAAAGGATGGACACTGGTCTGGATGCTAGCTCCAGCCCTGGTGACGGATGTCTCCAATATGCTCAGCGCTGCCCG